AGTAAGTATTTGTTGAATGACTAAATATCTGCAGCAGAGACTTACTAAAATGCCCAAAGAACAAACTGTATATTATAAGCATCCTTCCAAGAGTTTCCAAAATTTAGACTGTCTGGAAAATCCATTTACTTGCAGGATTTATCACCATTTCCCACACTTTACACTGTAATTATAATGTGCATCGGAGGACAGAGAACAATCACAAATCTGAAGAGGCAGTCTGCCAATGCTGTCCTTTCCTTTCAGTGAAGAATTTAGTTAAATTCTTCCTCATCTATATTCACCCCACCCTTTTGTACCTAATTTTTCCCTGGTTTTGGGGAAAGAACTGTGTTAATGGTGGAATAAAGGGTTATAAGCACTGAGTTACTTCTTTGGAACATAACCAGAGATATTTTTAGTTATGCAATTTAATCCTAAAATGCCACACATTTTACTGAAGGATGCTCCATTATTATTTCCCTGTAACTGAAAAATATTCCCCTTTGAAAGCATAGTCCTTATTATAACTTATTTAATGACCGCTGTTTTATCTGATGCCTCAGATCTAATAACTAGTGAAGTTCCTGCTGTCGTTTGGCTTTCTTCACATCAGGATGTTTGTGTCCTCACCCTACGTCTGTTGGAATTCTGTTGCTTGCTGGTGAAACCTCCGAGTCTGGCAGCTTCTTTCAACTGACACAGCATCTTTTTCTCCTCCCTTCAAAAAAAGGGGGGTGTGGGGGATCTTCTAATTTATTTTAGCAGAATAACTTCCCATTGAGGGAATAGCCACACAGGCACTTGATTGTTCAGTAAATCCTCTTGAGATTTCAACTGCTTTGATTTTTTTTTTTTTTCTAGGAATGGATTGGCATGATTCCTGAGGAGGTGTTCTTTATCTGTGGAACTTTCCTTTAGGACTGGCTAGTGGATGAATATGGCTTCTTGGTGCCTCTGGCATCAAGTTAATTTTGCATTGTATTTTAGAGTTGCATTATATGTATCATCTCATTACATCCTGAGGCATATCAAGGAGTTAGTACCTTTTATTGATAAGACTGCAGCACACACCAGTTTGGCCACATTGAGGACAGAAGGAAACACTACGTTCTGTGCATTGCAATGAATACTAATTTTAACCCATACTGCATTGTATTTCAACAAGATTTATAGTTAAAAGTAATGTTTTCTTCAACTTCTTGTCCTCACTCTAAATCTCCAGAGATAACTTAGTCTCTATTTTAGGATCATTACCAAAAAAAAAAAAAAAAAAAAAAGCCTAAAAACAATGTTAAGATTCATGGAAAATATTTAAATAACTTGGGCTAAGGACATTAGCTAAATAGCATTAACTGTGTGTTTACTTCAGGTTTCTTGTCAAGTTAGTTATAATAAGCTTTAGAATCACCTTATTTTCTTCAATTTGTAGAGCTTGTCAGTGAACAGTTATGAGAGGGGAAAAATCTGTGAACAACAAATTTTGTTGCTGTTAATCAACAGCCATGATTTTATAGATCTTTTTCTTTAGATGGGACTTTTCCCATGAGTTTTTTTGAAATTAAGTGAGTTTTAGTATTCTGGTGATGCTTCACCATTTTCAGGATCTTTACAAGTATGTGTGAGTTTTTAAGTAGAACTTTAAAACTCTTTGTTGTTATTGTTAATAAATCGAGAAAACACCGTCTGCTGACTTAAAGACAAAGTAAATACTTTTATGGATTTATGCAGTATCTCATAATAGAAACAAACAAGAAAAATCTTCAGTGGGTATGTATAATAAAAATAGATTATCTAAAATCCTGAACAAGGAACTTGGTAAGACTTCCCAAGTGTGCTTTAGGTAACAGAGTTAGAAAAACTATTTTATTCTGATATTACTGTGAAGATTCATTGGTAGTTTTCCCAATATACAGACTACCACGTAGGATAATAAGAGCTCAGAGATGGGAACTTCCATTTCATTTTTGACAGTGATTTCCCTCAACTCTGAAAACAAAACCCCCTTTACAACTCTGAGCTAATTTTCAAGCCTTCAACTTTCCCACATGGGTGTTTTGAATATTTCTGAAAATGTTTTGCTGTTTATATTCAAAGAACTCTGAAAACAAGTATCAATTGAGAATGAAAGAAGAACAGTGAATGTGATGGAAATTTCTATCCTAAATTTCAGTTCAAGGGCTAGAATTTTCACACAGTTGACCTTAAACACACACTCCCTTTGCTTTAAACTGTATTATATTTTGAAGAAGAGAAAATGTGTAAAAATTATTTCGGTAGGTTTCTTTTCATTCTTGTGTCATCTTATTCTCATTTGCCAGTTAGGGATGTTTAGAGAAACGAATTTTTAACTTATGGCACTGCAGTGGTTTTATGTATTTTGCATATTGAGAAATAACTGGGATATATACAACAGAAAATTAAGATAAATTAAAATTATAGTCAATTTGTAGTGTTCTTACCATTTTAGAAAAAAATTAATTCAAGGTGGACACTATATAAAAATTAATCTTTTCCTGTGACTATTAATTTAGATATTGGTTTGCCACTTTTGAAGAAGCAAAGTATTTAATTACACTGAGATTTGCATTGATGATATAAGGAATGCTATTTTATCAAGTGTTACTTCCCATTAGTGCCGAGTAATGAAGTATCTGATTAATGTCTGTGGTTTCTTTGTATGAATCTCTCTGAAGTAAACTGCTTGTAGGAATCTCACTCTCTGTCATGTAGTTCAACATGGTGGGCTATTATATTTTAAGGACTAAGTCAGTTTCTGGGATCAGCTATCTGTAACAGAACATTTTCTATATTTCCACTAAGGGCACAGTGTACCTTAGTATATTTGAGTTAGTATTTGTTTTTAGCAGTAACCATGGAGAGGGTGGTGTATACAAACATTTTGTCTCAGTTTGTAAGGTAATAAAACTGGTATTGTTACTGTATAATAATATTTTGTATTCAATGACTACTCGATGGCTTGTAAAACCTTTTTATATATGCCACTTCATTGTGTTATGTAGACTTAGAGGTAGACCATCTTCATTTTATAGCACCACTTGTTGAAAAGATATTCCCTATTAAATTGCCTTTGCACTTTATCAGCTGACAAGGTTTATAGCTTATTAACAAGTAATATATATGACAATTTTAACAGAAAGCTTGAGGGAGGAAATGGAGCTATATGGAACAAGGAAATGACATCAGAGAGTAAAGAAATGAAGAATGCCAGAAATGTCAAATATGTTAATATAAAAGACCTTAATATATTTTCTTATTTTTCCTATTAACTTTTTAAAAACTTAAGATTAGGGATGGGGGGGGGATATAGCTTAGTGGTGTAGCACTTGCCTAGCATGAGCGAGGCCCTGTGTTCAATCCCCAGCACTGAAAAAAAAGACTGAAGGTTTTATGTAAATAATTATAACATATTTATGAGTTTATATCATACAGATAATGTACAACAATAATTGCACAAAGATATAAAAGGAATAAAGGTATAGTGGAGCAGTTTCTGTATTTTAGTAGGTTAGTATTAATCTGAGGTAAATTGTGATAAGATTCCATGGTAACCTCTAGGGACACCACTAAGAGACTTAGAAACTATAATAAAAACAAATAAGAAAATGGTGCTCTAGAAAGTATCAATTTAATACAAAAGAACATGGTAAAAGATCAAAGGAACAAAACAGATTGATACAAGAATCTAAATGACAGACATAAATCCAACCATATCAATAGAAAAACAAATCATCAGAGACCTTCAGTATAATATCAAGTATATTTAACATGTGTGTAATTGGAATCAGAATATATATTCAGTTGTAGAATAGTAATATACTAGCAAATCTTTTTCCAATTTCTAGAAAATTGGTTRGCTTAATTAAAAAAACATCTGACCATTTTTTATTTGCCTGTTTAAGAAAGCTCCTTGGGAAGTTAGTTACATTTTACTGAATTTTTGAACATAATCTTTATGAGTAGGTAATAAGGATTTTTAATATGTGGTCAAAGGCTAATAATCCTTTGAGGACCTTTATATTAGATTTTGTTTATTTATTTTCCACAGCAAGCACACAAAAATACTAACATTACCAAAAAAATTTTTTTTTAAGTTTTATTTCTTTGTATATTTTTCTCTTAATTTTCTTTAAGTGTCAGAATACATACAGAGAACCACAGGAGTATCTCTACTCAGTTCTAATAATTCTTTTTTTTTTTTAAAGACAGAGTGAGAGACAGAGAGAGAGAGAGAGAGAAAGAGAATTTTTTAATCTTTATTTTTTAGTTTTCGGCGGGCACAACATCTTTGTTTGTATGTGGTGCTGAGGATCGAACCCGGGCCGCACGCATGCCAGGCGAGCACGCTACCACTTGAGCCACATCCCCAGCCCTAATAATTCTGATACTTGGGAAAACTAGAAATATTAAAAAAGAAACAGTCGTATGTACAAAGAGGACCATGATGGTTTATCTTTATTAGGATCACTATTCTCTGCCTCCCAAATTAAACCAAAATAACTTTATAACAATAGGGAAATGACTAGGTGAAGTAGGAATCAGTAGATTTTTATATAACCATTGAAAGATAGTAATCATAAACACCATATAAAAACATGGGGGTAAAGTGTATTACAGTCTATTTTTTAGAATCATACCTGAATACCAATTGTTCCACTATATAACACCATGTTGGATAATTGAAAAAAATAACACCTGTGGCCATTAGTCAATTTATATACACAGGACAGTGTTAGCCCCCTTAGTAGGTTGATAAGGACAGAATACAGTTGATAAGGACAGAAAGGGGAATGCTTTTGAAAAGGACTGAGAGTCATCAGGTAGCACTTACATGCAGGATTTCCTGTGTGAGAGGCGCTGAGATACTTATTTTCAGCCTTCAGACGTTTCCTCAGCATTGTAAATATAATCACCTGCCTCTTCCCAAGATTTCACAGTATTCAGTCTTATCCACAGCTGAGTGATTGTAACTCCTAAGTATGTCATGTCTTTATTTTCAGGATAAGGGACATCTTGAAGGCATCTCAGAAACTACGAGGGAATCCGGATTTACCCATGTCTTTCACTCTGGCCATCGTGGAGTCTGATTCTACAATAGTCTATTATAAACTCACTGACGGGTTTATGCTGCCAGACCCTCAGGTCAGTTTTCAGATAACTGACAATAAACTGAAGAAGGAAAATCATGACAAAATTTTAAAATGTGAATTAAGTCATTCATGGAACGATTGCTTCTTTTGCCGTAGAAATATTCAAGAAAAAAAGTTACATTTTCATATTTCAGAAAACTGTTTTGTACAGAGTAATATCTTCCTTATTATTTTTGCAAAAATTGTTTGACTCCCCACCTCTGTGGAGAATTTCATAGTTTCCCAGAGTATTTCATGGAGGTATGCATTTAATTATTCAGTGAGTAACTGAGATGTGATGTTAAAGGAAGTTGGGAAATTAGTTACATTTTATTGAATTTTTTAACATAATCTTTGTGAGTAGGTAATAAGGATTATTACTACTATTAGTAGTTCTAACTAAAAGAACACTTCTTTAGGAGATATTAAATTCATTGACATTTTGACAGGGACATTTTAATAAAATGAATGTTTTGTATATTATTTCTTTCATATTTTGTTGGCATAATGGGATAATTACATTAAATAGCTTTCTAATTTTGCATTTAATTACATGACTCAGAAAAAGTTGCATTTTGAACTTTTTTTGTTTATATTGCAGAATATTACCCTTAGAAGATGACATCTGTACTTCTCARCACTTTATTCATAAAAGATTGAATTTGAGACTCATTTAACTGCTTTATCTTTTATCTCGGAGATAGTCAGAGTCGATTTAGCTCTTCTCATTCCATAAGTTTTCTTTCTGAAGAATAAAACTTTTTCAGTTAAAAGAATTTGTATTGCTTAAAACCATAGAGTTGTTGTTCTAGAACTCTTATTAGAGACAGTTTAGTTACAGTTGTACTCATATTTATGCTGAGGATGTGTTCAGAGGGGTGGAACTGCTGTACCTCTTCGTCACCCACACTCAGCTGCTGCTGCTGGCTCGTCATTGAAACCACCACCTCTTCCCTTACTCTGCTCTCCCAGGGCCTTCTGACCTCTGTAGCTAGCTTGAGCTGGTACTTCATGTACATTGTGAAATGTGGAGAGTTTATTTCTGCCTGCTTTTCCATCTTTTGTATAAAGTAAAAGATTTATTTGAGTGGGTTTGTTTTTCTGTTGCACTTACTGTTATTTCCGTCTTGAGTTGACTTTAAATCAGAATTGAAAATATGCTTGTCAAGAGTGTAAATCCACATGTCGGCATTAATAGGGACCAGAGAAGTGCTTACTTATGAGAGTGCCAGGCCTTCCTTTCTGTCCTGTCACCACCATCCTTATTATATCATAGCTTGAATATTATAAGAGAGTGAGGGACAGTTTCAGCATTAAAAATATCCTTGTTAATTAGACCCAGTTATTCCTCTTGTTAATATCCAAGTATGAAAATAATATGCACAAAAACTTTCCAAACAGTTTTGTTTTGTAACTCAAATTATGAATCACTTGAAGTTTAGAGCAGGAGTCAGATGTTGGGCTGTACTTTGTCATCCCCTGGTCAAGGTAAATAGTCAATAAACAGATCTATGAAAGGTATATTATGTACTCATTAAAATTATGTAATCCTGGCTGCAAGTAACTCACCAAGTACATGTTAGAATGTGACAAAGTGGATGAAATTACTAACTGGTTATAGTAGGATGGCAGAGCAATGAATGGAAAACTTTATCTTTCCTCAATATTTTAGCTTTACTTACGTTACTTTTATAATGAAATATTTTAAAATAAAAATACCTCAAAATCTGTATTATCTATCATTGCGTGATACTATTAGCAGTTTAAAACTGCACATTTATGATCTCATAGCTTTTATGGGCAGGTGGTGTGGGCATGGGTTAATTGGTGCAGTGGAGGTGTTACTTGGGCTACAGTCTCATCTGAGGCTTGCCTGGGGAAGGATCTGCTTCCTCGATCCTGTGGTGGTCAGCAGTCTTCCTTGTGAGGGCCTCGGTTGTCAATGGGATGGTGGGAGGCTATTCTCAGCTCTTTGCCACATAGGCCTTCCCAAGACGAGGGGTACTTTCTCTCAGCAGGGTAGACCTTGTAATCTCAGGTAATGGAGTTATGTACATCCTTCCTCTTCCCCATGTTCTATTGGTTAGAAGCAAATTTTAGATCCCCCCTACACCAGGGTCTTAGGTCTGATTAGGAAACAACAGTAACAAGAATGGGGGGAAAAAATGGCAAATTTGCATTACAAAATGGTATAAAGCATTATTCCTGATCCATTGACTTTCCTGGCTCCTTTATTTCATCAGTATTAGAATTTCACTTTTATTCTTGGTGGAAAGTGCCCACAACTTAAGATTTCCTTTGCTCTCCCAGAAGTCCTGGAGATGTACCTGCTCACAACAGGGTGTGCTTCTATGACGCCAGACAATCTGCAGATCCAAGAATCCTAAAATAGTATATGATAAATTTCTAGGGTCTCTTGATACCTTTAGGGTCTCATCTGATTTCATTTGAGAACTTTCATCACATTGGTAGAAGAACAATCTATCCTTCTAGATAGAAGTGAAAAGTGTAACATGTCGTATTTATGTTTTGGATCTGGTGACTAGGTAACCACCAGGCTTGACTGTGGAAGGCACTTTCTCAAATCTTTTTTTTTGTTTGTTTCAGGTATCTTTTTTTTTTTTCCTTTTAAAGAGAGAGAGAGAATTTATTTATTTATTTAGTTAGTTAGTTAGTTTTTGGCGGACACAACATCTTTGTTTGTATGTGGTGCTGAGGATCGAACCCGGGCCGCACGCATGCCAGGCGAGCGCGCTACCGCTTGAGCCACATCCTCAGCCCCTTCTCAAATCTTTAGAGCCAGGACAATCCCACTATTAGGTCCTGAAATGTTTACTCCATTTCAGATGATGTTCCCTATTTCCTTGGCCAAAGTTGTTCTGTCTAAAGCCAGCCAGATGCCTGCTAATGTGCAAACTGTCCAACACAGTTTAGGAAAGGAGACAGCCCAGTTGTATTTGCCTCATTTTAATGAAAAACTAGGTCAAGTTGTTTGGATAAATAATTTTGCAATTCAGTATACATTTGTCTCCCTTGTTAATGACCATGAGCTCCTCAAGGACAGAACAAGAAGCTGTGACTTTTTCATATATTGTTGTCTCCCACCACTCTCCACAATAACTGGCACATAATAGGCACATTATAGACGTTCAGCAAATGCTTGATGAACAAATGAGTGCTACTGAAGGTGCCTTTTCACCTCAAGGCAAACTAAAAGGACCCAGTTCAACACCAGAGGGCACTGCTAGATAAGCATATTGTCAGACTAGGACTAGATTGGCTTGAGAAATGCTCTTGAAAATTTATTTTCAATCTGTGGGAAGTAGCATAAATAAAAATATAAATAAGTTTTATGTGCTCACACCCCCTCTCTTTCTGGCAGGCCTCTAAAATTACACTTTGCTGGCATTAAATATGTGACTTGATTCATGCTTTGCTCAAAATGTAGATCTATATTTAAAAACAAAAGCCTTTTTGGAGTGGGATGGTGAGGTGGGTTTTTTTTTTCTCTTTTCCCTAAATTATGGTTTTGTTCAGACCCATATGAAATTATGGCTTTCATTTTTCCTTGCAAAAGCCTGATTTATTCAATGAATTTCAGCATCAGTCACATAACAACAGACCCTACTCTGAAACATTCCCTCAAACTGGCTAAATACCAGTAGTAAAAGATGTAAATTGCTGCTCTAATAAATCTAAACTTCTTTTTTCTTTCTTTCTTTTTTTTTTGTGGTAGAGGTGCCCTCTCTCGTTGGGGCAGGAGAGAGGGAAAGGCCTTGTTAGGATTTCTTTCTAGTGCAGCCTTTGCTGTTCTTTTCTGGAGTTCCTGATCTGAGTACCCTCTGCTGGGAAGCCTCCAGGAAATGTGGAGTCCTCAAGGTCCAGTGCCTCTAGAATAACTTACCTTGCTTCTCCTACCTGGGCCTCTGTAGAAGAATGTGTTTGTAGTGTCACGGATCCGTTGTGAAGAGCGAGAGGGCAGAGAAACTTTGGAACTCTAAGCTACAATTAGAACGACGAGTAATCTCCCATAAAGTCCGTGTCATCGGTATTTTTTGGCTGAAGCAGCTTTACAGTTTTATAAGCTTGGAACCAAATAACTTAATCAAAACTCCATGGTGTTTCATCTTTTTCAGGGCTTTTCTGTGTTGAATTCCTCTCTGAGGTCACTTTTTCCATTGCAGCTCCCAGCAGGAGGCCTCTTCATCAGCGCTGTTCAGCAGTTCCTGCCAAAGTTTTTAGTTCTACTATCCAGAAGCTCTTATTCATCAGCCGTGTTTTACCTTGACTGTTTACAGAATAATATGCTGTCCTCTGAGCAATAGCCTAGTTTTCCCTCCTTTCTAGCCAATGACTATTCTCTTTCTTACCACCTCCATTCCAGCAGTCTAATTCTCCTAATGATCTTTAAGTAAGAACTGTTTATGCTCACTAGGAAGGAGAATGGAAAAATCACATGTCTATGGGGCTGTTATAATGCCCAGCTATATTGTGCTATTATAATGTTTATATGATTCTGGAAATTTCCCCAAAAACCAGTGTAAGCAAAATCAAAGATTAAGTTTTGGGTTTTAGGCTTACTGAGTGGAGAGAACATTAAAAAGTATTTTGTTAAAGTTCACATCATTGATTTATTAATTTATCTTAAGGCATTACTAGTATTTTAATTAGGCAGCCATAAAAATATTTCTATAGGTTGAATGGCTTAAAGAACAGAAGTTTATTTTCTCACAGTTCTGGAAGTTCTAGGTCAAGGTGCCAGCTGACTGAGTTCCCAGCTCTTTGCTGCCCTGTGCATGTTCAACTCCTGGCTGTGCTCTCACACGGCCTTTTCTCTGTGTTGCGTGTCCTGGAGTTTCTCCCTCTTCTTATAAGGACACCAGCCCTATAAACTTAGGGCCCCACCCTTATGACCTTATTTAACCCTAATTACCTCCCTACAGGCCCCATCTCCAAATTCAGTCACATTTGGATGTTAGGGCATCAACTTATGAATTTGGGACCATGGGACATACTGTAGTCCATAACAACTGGACGCCCTCTGTGTGCTTAGATACTATAGTAAGTGCTGGGAATACAAGGATTAATGAGACATGACCCCTGCCCTAAAGGAACACATAGCCAACTACAGCTCTCCTTACCTAAACTCTAGAAGCATGTTATCAATGTGAATGCAGGGACACTTGTCACGCTGTGAAGGAGGCATATATAGTTTGTGCAGTTTACTTAAGAATGAAGACGATTCAACAACTTGGATAAATACTTTTTAAACAATGATTGTATGTGTATTATTTGTCTGAAAGGACTCAATGTTGGGACAGATACCAAGAAAAATTGCACAGTGCACCTCATGGAGATGATTGACTAGAAAGGGAGAAAACCTGTGTATGAAATGATTTGGGAGCATTACAAGACAGTATAAGGTATAACCCCTAAATTATAGTTCTGCTGCACTCTATTCACTAAGTGTGCTCAACTCTTTATTGTGATTCTCATGATGTTACTTGCTAGTTATCATTAACATATTCTCAGATGATGGAGAAATTAAGGCACTGAGTGGTGAAGTTTTAATAGCAAGTGAACAGGGTAAGCGATGAGGAGGAGAACCAGATCTCCTGACACTTTGCCCACCATCTTTTCATAGTACATGTTGTCTCTTCCTAGTATGTATGGTGCAGAGAAATATATTAACATGTGCCCAAGAGCCTTTAGGAGGAAAGAAAAAATAGTCCTAGGGCCTGGAATTGTGGCTCAGTGGCAGAGTGCTTGCCTCGCAAGTATGAGGCACTGGTCAGGACTTGTTAGAAAAGACTTCATACAGGCTGATCTTGAAGCCAATCTTGATAATGCTAGTGGGCAAAGCGTAAGTTTAGCTCTTATCTCACTTCTCTTCTCCTGTCCTCAGGTAGACGTGCAGCGGTGAGAGTGTGGACAGATTAGATATCTGTTGTAGGGTCACAAATTATCCCCAAATTCAGCTGCTTAAACATTTATTCCCTGCTGTTTCTGCAATTGAGAGATTTGGGAGCATCTTAGCCAGGTACTAAGATGCTTATGAGGCTAAGATGAGGACATTGGCTGGGGCTG